ACTTTTATAGTATTTTGCCCACTTCGGAAGTGATACTTGTAAATATTAACTGCTTTTTAATAATCAGATAGAAGTACTGATTGGTAGATTATAAATTGAGATCATTAGTTTTGAAGATTACTTAGTCATCAGAAATCATTCACCTCTTAAGGCTTTGGGGTAGCTTTGGGGCTGATGCTAAGAAAAGCTCTGATAATGCAGAGTATGCAGATGTAGTTCAGACATAGTTTAGATGGATTTTTGAATAATGAATGAAATATCTAAGCTAGAAGACTAAGACAAAATTAGTTTCTAAAATTTACTGTGCATTTCGTTCAACCATAATTTCTTGTATCTACTGATTAGCCCTGCTTAAAGATAATCCAAAATCAGATAGCTGGGAGTAAACGTATTATCTTGAAATCGTGATTTTTACTTATGTAACTTTTAGGGAAACATATTCAGTGTGTGTAGTGAGTTATAGGGAGTCACAACTCTACTACTTTTTCTTCATTTTTATAGAATAAAGCATAAATATTACAGCTCATAGCTAAACTTTTATTCATATATAAAAGTCTGCTGGATTTACCTGCAAGTTAATAAGTAAACATTGATTTTAAGATTAAATAAGTGGAAAGCAGGTACAGGAAGTGGTAATGTTGATGGCACAAAATAAAGTGGGAAAGTGATGAAGGAACCAGATCGTGAAGGGCCTTTTATAGTCAATGTGTTAGTTTTCTATTGCTGCTGTAACTACCATAAGCTTAGTGGCTTAAAACAATATCTGTTTATTATGTTACAGTTTCTGTGGGTCAGAAGTATGGGCACAGGATGACTTAACTGGGTTCTCTGCTTAGGTTCTTGCAAGGCCAAAGTCAGGGGGTCAGCAGAGCTGTGTTTCTTACTGGAGGCTGTGGAGAAGAATCACCTTACAGGCTCATTCAGGATGGTGACCGAATTCTGTTTCTTCTCATGCTTTCCAACTGGTCCCCTTCATCTTCAAGCCAGCAGTGGTCTGTCAAGTCCTCCTCACGCTTGGAACCTCTCTGCCTTCCTCTTCTACTGCTAGTGGAGAAGCTTCCCTGCTTTCAGGGCCACATACGATTAGATTAGGTCTATCCAGTCAGCCTTCTCTTAAGGTCAGCTGGGCATATAACATGATACAATCTTGAGAACAACACCAGGGCATAGAGATCATTGAGGGGCCAAAAGTCTGCCTACCACAATTATATCAGAGTTAGGGCTTTATTCTGACAGGGCTTATGTGATTTTAAGTAGAAGAGTGTTGTCAGATTTGTGTTCTATAGCAATCACGTTGGCTGTAATATAGACAGGGGTCATTTGGGGGCCACCCGGAAATCATGAAAAACCATTTGAAGGAGTATCACTTGAGTTTCAGTTATAGATGACAGAAACCACATTAGCTATTTTAAGAAGAAAGGGATTTAATACAGGGAATAAGGTGCTTACAAAATCTCTGGAAGAGCCAGGATTACCTCTAGAGTGGTACCACAGAACTAGCCCACCAAGGGCACTGCTGCCTCTCCTAGCATCAGATGCGGGGAGACTCGGGAAGCTGCTGTCCCTGGTGCTGGATCACACCATCTAAGCTGTGATCTGAAGATCAGTAGGCTGCTGCCAGGGATGCTGGCTCCAGGAACACACTGCTTGAACTGCAGTCTGGTAATTAGGAAGCCTCTACCCAAAATGAACCCACACTGTGTCTCACTCCCCAGGGCTGTTAAATGTGATTGGTGCAAGTTAAATCTCATCTGCAAAGCAGTGTGGTACATGTAGTTTTCAGCTTTGCAGTACAGAAAGGCTTTCTAGAAGGAGGTTGGAACTAATTCTGAGGAAACTCACCCAGCTTATGCATCCAAAGAAGCTGTAGCAATCCAGATTGTTAATAATAGTAGCTGGAATTTACAAGACAGGTGGGCAAGAGAGATACAGATAGATTGACGAAATATTTAGGAACAGAATTACTAGGACCCGACGATTGAGTGGGAGAAATGGAGAAGAGAGAGAGGAAGGAATCAGGATGACTGTTCGTTTCTGGCTTAGATGGCTAGTTTCTGGTGCCATTCACTGTGATAAGAAAGACTAGAAGAGAATATGATTGGGGAATGAAAATGAATTATTTCTGGACATGCTGATTTTGAGTTAAGTGTAAGACCTTAGAGTGTCCTAATTGATAGCTCACTTAATTTGTCGATAGATTTGACCAGTTGTAGCAAATAGGCTAGTTTCTGCACATGGATCATAATTTTGTGTACAAATAGGTTTATGCTTGAGATAAATTCAGTTGACTATAGTATCAATTATAAATAAGTCTAGGATTATATAGTTATTCTTTTAAATTTTAGTTTTATGTTGAAATAGATTCAGAGCTTCCCATTAGTTCTTTAATCTCACTGTTGAGGAGTATTTTTCTTTTTCTTCTTCAGAAGGACTCATGGGTGCACTGTTCCCTAAGCTCTTGTTTCACAATATTTGCTTGTTAAATTTATTTCTGAAAAAAACTCAGTGAGGTATAGTATTCCTGGGTCATGCTTTCTGGTTGGTTTATTTGGTGGGTAATGTGTTGTTTTGCTCCTCCGTTTCTTTCACTGGTGCTGAAATCTCCCTTTTCATCTCATTCTGCTGTTTATCGTTTGTCTTTGAGCTCTTGTTTTATTATATTTATGCCCTTATTGATGTCTAGACCTTAGAGTAGTTGTGGAGCATTTTCTTTTCATTCAGTTAGTTTTCCTTCAGGTTGAGTTCTGCTTTTATTCCTTTTGCTGTGGTATGTGCTTAGTTGCCGTTTTGTGCCTTATCTTCTTTTAAGTGGGTACCTGTCTCTAGACCATCTGTACTGAAACATAGTATGAGTGAACTCCTTGACCCCTTCTCCGTTGTTTCTTTTGTCCCTTTTGTCCCTGCAGAGTTTGAGAACCTGGGATATTACAGCTGCGTCTACTTTTCTGTGGTCTGAAGGGAAAACATCTCTAGAGTTGGGTTCAGCTCTTATTTGACCCCTGGGTTCTGGTGTCTTTTCCAAGATTTTGTTAAATTATCATAACCTAGCTTCACTTGCTTGAAGCCATATACTAGGAGACTGGGTGAAGGAAAGATACCCTTGGACTTTGATCATTTCACTTTTTCAGTTTGGAGCCTTGGAAAGTTTCAGGATTTGGTTTATGTTTGTTTGGGCTGTTTTGTTTTGTTTCTGTTACTAAGATCCTGGCATCCTAGCTGTGGGATGTGGAGCCTTCTTATCCTACGGCATTTTCTCGGTCTTCCTCCCAGCTGACCCCTTACCCCTCAGCCCTGAATCTGCTCTAAATTGGAAAGTATTGGTCAGTGGGCTCAGGATTTTGTTTCCTTCTTTTTCCCTAATGGCTCCTAGGGGTTGAGTTAGGATCCGTACTTAACAGAACCACACAATACAGAGCTTTGGGTTCCTTTTAAAAGGTTACGGCAATAAAGTTGTTCCCCCTTTTCTTGTTTCAGTTGCTACTGGTAGTATTTTAGCCTTTAAAAAGTGCTATTTAGGGCTCAAATGCTGGGAGAAGATTCTGTAATGCGTTTCATCACACCATCACCTTTGCTAAGAAGTTCTACCTAAACAGATTTCAATTGTATATTGTCCAAGGTGGGGCGGGGGGTGTGTTTTAATAATGTAAGTTCCAGACAGCAGGAATATAATATTAATACTTTTTATTTGTATACGAACTTAGAATTTACAAAGTGCTTACTTATGTGTTATTTTAAATAACTCTTACGACTGTCTTGTAAGGTAGGAAGGGCAGACATTCTCCCAGTTTTACCAGTGAGGAATCTGAGATCCAGAAGGACTGGGTGAGTCGCTAAGTCACACAGATGATTATAAGACGGAGTCAAGACTTTGGAGTCAAAACTCTGAAGTCAAGACTTCTGACTCCAAGGCCAGTGCTGTTTCACCACACCTGATGCTCCGCATGCTGGAAATAATTACCTCCGTCCCCGACCATAGACATTTTACTGTGTCGTCCATGTTCCTGCCAACTTTTTACAACATTGATTTCACCAAGTTAAACCCAAAAGTGTGTGTGGGGGGGGGTACGTGGAGCAGTGATCTTAACGACCGTTGTCTTCTTATCCTTGATTAACTTCAGTGTGTCTTTGTTATAATAAAGCGAATGTTCAGCATGATTCCCCCCCCTGGTTTAGAGGAAGCTGCTCAGCTTCCTCAACAAAGATCAGACCTAGCTCCTCCAAGGCCGGCAGTGGGGACAGGGTTTCCTACGTGGGGAGCTTATCCTCGGGGGCCCTAGTGTCACCTCTACAGTTCACTGTCCTCCAGGTGTCTTTGGCTCTTTCTTCCTGCACTGATCAAGGAACTTGTCCCCCTCATTTACTACCTTTTTACAAGAATGTATTCTTAACTCTTCCACAAACTCCTTGTATTATAGTCAACTAGACTAGGCCAGAGCATTGAAACAAAGCATCGCTGAAAAAGCTGAGTTAACAGCTAACATACAACAAGATGTTTTTGTTTGTAAGTTATGGCTTCCCCAGGGGTCAGAAGCTGCTGGCCTATGTCCATGTTCCCATCTGTGACCAAGGAACACGTGCTTAGATCTCTGCCCTCCTTGCTGATGACAGCCAAGAAAGCAAGCTCTACAGAGTGATTAGACCTCTCCCCATCATCTTTGTAGTGTCTACTTTTCTAGGTTCTCCTTTCCCCTCTAAGCCTGTTCTTATATGATGACCCACAGCAGGCATGGTTGAGGAGGAACTCTTCCCCTGTCCCCAGGGATGTGGTTTTACTGTGGCCTCGGAAGGGCAGCCGTATCAGATCAGAGGCTGTACAGTAGTCACTTGATAGATAGGTAGATAGGTGGGTAGGTAGATATAAATTAGAAGAGGATGTTAGAAAGATGTTGAGAATAACAGCATAGTTTACCTGTAATTCTGAAGAAGTCAGTAGTTCTTACACTAGTGACTGAAGCTGTCACTGTTCTGTTTTTTGTTTGTTGTCTGTTTTATCCTTCTAGGTATCATGAACTGATCACAAAATACGGGAAGTTGGAGCCTTTGGCAGAAGTGGACCTAAGACCCCAGAGCAGCGCGAAAGTCCAGGTCCACTTTAACGACCAGGTGGAAGAGATGAGCATTCGTCTGGACCAAACAGTGGCAGAACTAAAGAAACAACTGAAAACTCTAGTGCAGTTACCCCCTAGCAACATGCTTCTCTACTATTTCGACCACGAAGCGCCCTTCGGCCCAGAGGAGATGAAGTACAGCTCTCGGGCCTTGCATTCTTTCGGCATTAGGGATGGGGACAAAATTTTTGTGGAATCCAAAACAAAATAACCTCGCCAGCCTTGTGAGAACACACACAGTAGGACTTCCTGCAGGGCATTTGTTTCCTTGAGGTTTTCTTCAGGAGGGAGAAGGTTGTTTTGTTTTGTTTCATTTTGTTTGGGTTTCGGGGGGTTTTGTACATGTCCCCCTAGAATGGGTAGGGGGCTGTTTTGGTATTTTGTACCACAGATTTTTTCGGCTCTGCCACCAGAACTGGTCACATCTCCAGTCCCTGTGCCCTCCCTCGTGAAAGATGACTAAGCAGTCGCCGACTTCTTACTGTGTTCCCTGGGCTCTGCCTGCCGCTTGGTGTCACGCCCGCACAGGTGTCCTTGTGATGGCGGTGTGAGCGGTGTATCCCCTGAGAAGGGTGGCTTGCACTTAAATCAGGAAACAAGGAGTCTTTTCAGGAAGGAGCACTTCTCTCTCCCAATTCCTCCTTTCCCCCCTCCCTCCCTCTCCTTTGCTTCTTTGGTTCAGTTTTTCACATTTTGACTCGGGTCCATACATGTTTACCTAGTAATTTTATTCTGTCCATAATTAACTTCTTATTCTCAAGTTGGGTAATTTTTTTCTCCATTTCTCCCTTTTGAAATCATTTAAAGTGTTTTAAACATTTGTCAACCTGATTCTGATCTCAGGTACTTAGTTAGAACCTATAGCTCTGTTAGGGTCTGGAAGAAGAGTAGATGAAGTGTTACAACTCCAGGAAAACTTGCTGTTCATTCTGGAAGCACAACACAGCAGTCTGAGCTCTTTGCATGTAACCATCTCAGTTTTAATGTTCCTCCCACAATGTATCAACCATTACTGACAGGAAATACGTCAGATTCCAGAATTCTTTGATTTTTGCATTTTGAATGTATTTCTTCATTATCTGTCTATCTTTTTCATTACTTTAAACTGTGGGGAATGGAGGCCTGACTTTAAGAAGAATCCAATAGTTTAATGGATGTATGTGCCAGGAGAGCTAAGACTCAGCTAATAAACTCTCTAGTGTGTGTGAGGGAGTTGAGTAGGGGGGCCTGTGGGAGAAAGAGTATTGTGGCTTCCTGCCTGCCATCATTTGAAGACTTTGCTCTTGCACTTTGCATTAGAAGTGGGAAATTTTGATCCAAGGGAGCTTTGATCCCCGGTTCTTCCCTGGGATTTTGCGATGTCATAATTGAACAATTATTTTTGTTTTACGTTTCAGTTAGTTGCCCCCACAGCTCTGACTAATCTGGGAAGTAAAACATAAGTGTCAGAACCTCAGATCTGCCTCCAAATCATATTTTTTGCAGAAGCATATTTAAAGCACTTTCCTTTAAAAGATAGTCCTTACCTGCTCGGAAAATTTTTTGTTTGTTCTTCTGGACATTTGTTAATGTAACCTCTCTCTTTAATATATGTCTTTCTGGGTCCACTATGTTTACAGACGGGAGACTTGAGAAAGACTTAGTGCAACTGGGGCAGAAAATGTGCACATGAAGTATTTTTCAAAGAATGTAATTGTTACCTGATTGTGTTGGGACCTTTTGACCTCTGTTACGTGATTCCATCCCTCCTAGAAATTCTTTACTTTCTCATGAAATGTTTAGATGACTCTTGTACACTCTTCACGTATGCGGAGTTGTGTTCATTACTGCTACTGTTTAAATTGTCCTGTGCCGGGAGAGCAGACGTCTATTCTCTTAGTGGCGCTTCAGGTGTGGATCCGTAAAGCCTGTGACCCAGGCCTGCCGAGTCAAGTGTACATTCTGTAACACTGGAGGTGGAAACCAAAGGGTTTGAGGAAGATGAATGAGGCCTGTTCTCCTTCTGCTGCAGACTTTATCTCTCAAAAGCATGAAAATGAGCAGTGGAGAGCCAGGCTAGACAGAGACAAGAATAATTATTTTGCAATCACATTTTCCTGGCGGATTTTTGGAAGCGGGGGGAAGTGTGGCCACAGTGTCACGAAGACTAAAACTGTGGGTGCTTTGTGTGCGTGCGCGTGCAGACGAGTGTGAGAGAGAAGCAGTGCAGCTGAGCCCGTTGCTTTGTCAGCCTGGGAAGCAGATGCGCTCTTATTTTTTGAGGTCGTATGATCGCTGACTGTCCCACAGCAGAAAGCAGAGCAAACACTTATGTTATGCTGTAATCATCCGTGGAATGGTCACAAGTAATAAGATATTTTATATATGACAAAGTTTTATGAAATGCTTTTTTACTATTAGGGACCTGTCCCTTCTGTTATTACAGAACACAGTGTCCATCAACTGCAGGCATAATTCTTCTCTTACACAATTGCATGTCAGGGGAACTTCTCATTTAATTCCATGGACGTGGGTGTTTTTAGGGCCTTGTAATGGATGGTTTTAATAACTGCTGAATAATTTTTGATTGAGAGGAGATCTAATGCAATTACCAGTCTCTTAGAGTTACAGAGCAGGAGTAAATGAGAAAAGCTATTAGAGCATGTGTACATGTAAATTTATTTGGGCGGCTGAGTAAAGATGCTGCTTTTGGAATAAAATCGGTGCTGTGCAGACACTTGTAACCAAAATTATTTTTATAAGCAGGCCAAAAAGAAGGAGAGGAGAGACCATGGACTTTTGAGTCTATAAGTTATGCATAATTAATTGTAGCTTATCTGTATTTTAATATCAGCTTCATCCAGATTCAGTGAAAGCATCTTATTTACATTTGTGAGGCAAGATTCTGTCGTAGCCAGTATTACAGATATGTTTCTACAGGCACAGTGACCAGAACGTATCTCTTCTAAAATAGAAATTCTTTTCGGTTACGGAAAGGGAAAGGAGTTGTAAAAGAAAGCCAAGTCAGAACCAAGGCATCCTTTGCACGTGGGCAGCAGCCGCTGAAGCCACAGTGGGAAACTAAGGTTTGAATTTGAGTTGTTGAAATCTCCCAGATTGCTTTAAAGAGGAAAAAAAAAGTTCAGAGTCATATGTCTTTTTTTTATTATTGAAAGTTTCTCTTGTTCCTGCACCCTCTTGCCACCATGGCCATAAATACGTAAGAAGGCAGCAGGTATGGTACTACCCTTGCTCCTTTAAGACCTTTTGGTGAACATGAGCTGTGTTTAACACAGCTGAATGTTATGATGCTCTGTTTTAAAAGTTTGTTTACTTGAAAAAAAAAAGTTCAGTTCTAACCAGACGTTTCAGCTATGTCGCTAAATCTGCAGTGTTAGGAAGAGGGAACTGAGCACCATCTGAGGCACGCTGGTGACAGTTTTCCCAAGTGCATGTGTCAGGGTGGCTTGCTACACGGCAGGTGCTAGGCTCCAGGGCAAACAGAGCAGGATACGGAATAATAGATTGTTCTCAGCAAGGTCATTCCTGTTTTTGAATTTGATTTTTCCCCTCATTTCATGTTGGATTGAAAATGCAACCAAACTGCTTTCAAGAACACCCAGAAGCTATCTGTGTTACCAGATGTGTTGTGAACACTCTATTTTTCATAGGTGCTTCCTTCAAATATGTCCACTGTAGTGATGGAGAGGGACTGGACTCTCTCAGGCTCTTAACTTGCCAGTTGTCTCCTGCAGTTAATGGAAATATATATTTTATTTTAGAATATAATTTAAACATGAAGGTCTATTCTTTGCACTTTTTATTAATATATATAGAGAGATAATCTTTAAAAAATTAAAAATCCAAGTCCACTTTCTCTGTGTTCTGATTTTTTTTTTCTGGAGTTGTGGGGTCAAAATATGTGTTTATTTTTATATAGCAAAAAATGGACATCAGTGCTGTGGTTGAGTCCTCTGGGGAATCGGACTAAGCTGGTAAGAATTTGACTGTTTTAACAAACTTGGAATCTTGTCAAAGTTAGTAATTAAAACTGCAAACAAAGATTCATAGGAAATACATTACTGCTTTTGTGTTAGCAAAGTTTTATACTTCTGACATGCTCTTTTAAGGATAAAAAACCTACCTTTGATTAATTTGGCATCTCCTTTTTTGAGTAAATATCTCATTTTGATGATTAAAAATTTGCGACACTTTTTTAAATGACGTATCTTTCCTTTGAGTAATAATTTTTTACAAGAATTAGAGTTTTGGACACTTGAATCCTATCTACTTACCAATAATTTCTTGGTAATATGTTGTGAATTAACCTATACCAAGAATTAAGGTCCAAGAGTCCAAGAACTATACTTTATTTCTATATTTAAAAGACAAAATCTGTTTTTTCTCAGTTCTTCAGAAGTGCTTAAGTGTCATGATCTGTTTAAGATTATTTCTACCTCTTATTCAAATTTCAAAAAATTATAATTTTAACTTCTATGCAAAAGTTCTGTTTAGCTAGTATTTATTATGAGCTTTTCTGAGTTCTTGCAAGGTAGACATATGTCAAGATACCCAATACCCACTGGGCATTGTCACCAGTTACTAGGATGCATATAAAACAAGAAGGTTAACCTTTGAATTCACATTTCTCTTTCCAACTCTTCTCTGGAAGTTATCTATGTTCTCCAACTTAGACGTAGGACTTCAGGATTCAAACTTAGATAAAAAATAGGTCATGACAGATACTAACACGAGCCATTTCATCTGCTTCTAAGTTTTTAATGTAACTAAGATTTAGGAACTGAGTAAATCCATGAAAGGAATAACATACCATATTACATCTCCTTAAAATATAATGAATTTCTGAATCCTTCAAAAATTTGAGAATAATGCTAAAAATGTGTAGCTTTTTTGTTTTGATTTTTTTAGCAAACTGATCTACTAAAATGTTCAAATATATATTTGCCTAGATACACGAATATAATACATGTGAATATCTCATGCTTTTCTTCAGTGTGGTTTAGGCACCTGAGCAATTCGCTTGCATTCTATTTTAAGGCACAAATGTTAAGAGAAGAGTAACAAACTCATAACCCAAGAGGGAGATGAGACACAAACAGAGTTGCTGGTTGTGTGAATTAGTGCCAGGGATCCAGGCTTATAATTTTCATTCTCATGTTTCTTCTAGACACTAACAATGAACATTTATCATCAAACACCAGGGCCCACGCTACCTGTATTAAACCCATCTGATGTTCATGACGTCCCTGTGGTTCAGCACTGTTCATTATCTCCATCTTCTTACTCGTGAGGCACAGATAGGTTAAGAAACTTGCCAGAAATCACACAGTTGGTAAATGACAGCAGAACCAGGATTCAAACCCAAGCAATTTGGCTGCAGTTGACAGCTGCCCTATAGTACTTGCTGCTGACGTTCTCCATAACCCTCCCCGCACCGTTACTGTTCATCTTCATGTTTCACTAAAATGAGATGTTCCGCTGGATATTCATTTACTAAATTGATTTACTCTGTAACAAAATCACTAATGTGGCTGATGGCTCTAAATCCAAATTGGAACTTGTCCTCATGCCACTTCCAGAACTGTGACATTATGGCTGGTGTGTCTCTATTGTCCTCCCTACTCAGAAATGCCGTACTGGACACTTGTGATGGGTGCTATTGACAGGAAGAAATGAACCAGCAATACGATGCAAGAACACTGATCATTTAGTCTTCCACCTAAGGACATACCAGAGCCTTAAAATTTTGTTTTAGTGAACAACCAAAGGGGAGACAAGGTCACTCAGTTTTGACTCAGACTTTTATCAGGGAGGCATCCGTGTTCAGGTGAACTTAAACTTGGTGTTTATAGAGGGAAAAAAAGTTTACAATCGAATGGAGTCTCTATCAAAGATTTTATGGGAAAGGATGAGGCTGTCACTGCTATAGTTGCTTTTTAAAATTCAAGAGAGAGCCTTGTGAAGAATGTAAATTTTGCTTACAAAATAGAGGAGCCAGTTTATCTATTATGGTCTGCAAGATCTGGATCTGCCCCAAAATTACAATGCAATTTCAATGTGTTGAGTCTTTCACAGACTCTCCACCCTTGAATGCTTCTTAGGCACTGTAAGTAATACAATTAAGGTGTTAAATAAATAAGAATGAGGATCAGAGGAGGCAGCCATTAAAGAACACAAACTAAAGAGAATAAAAAAAGATGTTTTCTGAACTACCTGCTACGTTTCAGGACAGATGTAAGCCTTACTATTTGAGAATAATATTAGAGACTACAACTAGGACACTATGACCTGCTTTGGTTGTGTTAAAAATTTTTGTTTAGTTTATACTTCAACTTGTTCACAAAAAGATGCCTTTTAAAAAAACCATTTAAATTTAATTTTAAACAGAAAACATTCACATGATTCAAAAGTCCATATAAAAAGGGTATACATTGGAAAATGCCACTCTGAGCCCACTCCGTCTTTTATTAGTTTCTTGTGTTTCTTTCCAGAGTTAACACAAATGATAGCAAATGAGAACATACATTCTTATTGATCCCCTTGTAAACACCAAAGTTAGTATATTATATACCCGCACACACCTTGCTTTTTAAAATGTACCTTGGAGATCTGTCCATAGCAGTACATACAGAATCACCTTACCCTCTGTTTGTAGTATAATATATAATATTCCATTTTTAGCTGTAGTTTTTAATTTATTTGACCACCACCTTATTGATAGACGTTTGAGTTTTCCTTTGTTCTCTCTCCCAAACTGCCCCCTCCTTTTTTTTTTTTTTTTTTTTTTTTTTTTAGTATTTTCAATTTGCTGCGGTAAAAAGCATACATTTTTTTACGTGTTTGAAATAAATCTGTAAAATACATTCCCGCGAATGGGACTGCTAGATCAAAAGGTCAGCGTGATTGTAATTTGGGTATGTATTGCCAAATTGTTCTCGACTGGAGTTACACAGAAAGAACACTTTTTCCCCTGGTTTTATTACTTGTCACATCCCTGCAAAGACGTTACCAATCTAGGGCTTGATACGTGATTCCTGGTTAGTGCAGCTAAGACGGCATTCTCCCCAGTTAGGCATGCAAACCCAGGCACTCGGACTCAACATACCAATTTGCCTGAGCACACATGTCGTCTGTTTAGGAGCTATCTTCCCTTGGAATCTGCGATTTTTAATCATTGATGAGTGAGATTTCACCTCTGCAGGGGAAGGCGTTTGTATTATTTATCCTTAACAATGTATGAGCATTTGTTTCAACTGAGTGCCCGTGAAAAGTGGTAGACGGATAGCCCTGAACCCCGTCTGCAGTCAGCTTTAATCAGAGCCGCTTCTTGCCTTGCCCGCCAGCGAACGTCTTCCAGGCGAACTGCTTGGTGCTGCTTGTTGAACAGGGACTATAGTGTGTCTCCCCCCGCCCCCTACTCCTTTTCAACTTCACTGCTAGTGTGCTAGCAACGAGGATGTTGGAATGAGACCAGTTGTGAGGTTGTTTTTAGTTATGTTGATCTACTTAGCCATTACAAACTCCTTGGCTAGAGAGAAATACTAAAGTTACTTTCAGAAAACATCTGTGGGTCTTTGTTTAAATTTCAGAGATGAACATCTTTTATTACGGAGATCTTAGATCAAGAAAATCTTGCTAGTTAGTTAATAAACATTGTCATTCAATATGGTTTTCAAAGAGCTGATGCCATTATTCTCATAATTAAGAGTCCAGTGTCTAGAATGAATAATATCAGCACAAAAAAGAAAATTATTTAGAGGCAAATAATAAAATAGATTATTTTAAAAAAACAGATTCTAGAGCATTTGTGCTACAATTGAAACTCCTAATGTTTGCAGCTTGCCATTAAATAGTTATTACCATGATACTAATAAATATGAAAATTTTCAGCAATATTATATCAGGTATTCAAAAATTTTGCCAAAGATTAGAGATCATGATACTATTAAAAAAAGTTTGCCCTTAAGAATGAAAAACTAACAGACTGCATGAGACCCCATTTTATGAAAGTTAACCCAGGTGTCCAAGAGTGAAGATTCCAAGGCAGTAAGAGAAGCAGACTTCCAGATGTGGAGCTCTTGAGGGTCTTCTCACTGTGGACATCTCTATGGTTTAGGAGACGTCTTCAGGAGCATCATTGCATTTTCTGTATCACCTCATCTGTGTCAAGGGTTCAGCCATGGATAACTACAATTTTTAGGGAGAATATAAACATAGCCTTAGATGTAATCCCCTTAGTGAGTGAGATCTAGCAGGCTGAACATCATTCAGTCAGTGGTTGCACTACAGGAACACCTGGAATCTCCGTGGCACGTTATACAATGAAGCAAAATGATCAGTTGTGGAGGGCTTGTAGATTTATCTGAGACACCAGTGTCACAGATTCAGATGTCTGGGAAGCCGATGCTAAGGTGGAGTTGGAAGTGCCAAAGGTTTATTGGGGAAATAACACCTATGAAAGAAAAAAAGAAGGATTGAGCAGGAGTGGGCATCATACCATGCTGTAGATCCGACAATGTCTTCAAGCCCAATGAGATGCTCTGAAGCAAGGATTCCTACTAGAGGAGCCCCACTTAGGTCCTTTTACCTGCAGAACACAAGAAGAACATAACCTCACTTGAACATTGATATCGACACCAAAGGAGCTGTCAGCCCACCATACTCCTTGTAGCTGGAAAGCATTCTTTTCTTGAAGGTGGATCTGAGCGGTGCACCTCCGTGTCTACCATGGTCCACTCCAGGCCACGTGTAGTTGCAATTCATCATCCTTGATCAGGGCCAGCTCCTCCGGGGCTCTGGCAGACCCCCCTTCCTGAGGGGAAACTCAGAAGAGG